TTTTTTTCTCTTTGTCATTGTTTGTAAAAAACTTATTTATTTCGTATGAAAACTGCGATTGTTCGTGTTTTAGGTTGTTGGACTAGTTGGCAGTGTAAGAGATGCGCTTATCCAAATTGTCTTGAGGCTTCGAGATGATGTCTTGAAGGATCGTGAGGATTTTCGTGACCATAATTCATCTGCTGGTGTTGAGACTTTATATGCGGGTGGCCCTTCTCTTCCTGTTTCATCAGTTATTCGTGGTTTTTCTTCGAGTGCTGCTGCATTGGGATACGAGCCGAGAGCTGATACTCGGAGTAGTTTGGAATTGCTTCCCTCGAGTGGATATGGATATGGATCTTTATCAGTATGCTTCTAATTTAAATATATTTGAATTAAATATTTCTACTTCTTTATTCTTCATAGACGCATTTTTTACTAACAATAAAAAGAAAAAATAATATAAGATCCAATGCCTTGTAAAACTTCTGAAAATACTAATGAAGCGATGTTTTTACATTCAACACATGCATCTGAATTTTGAAATGGTTCTAGTTGTTGGCATTCATGTAATTGTTCATGATTAATAGTTGATAAGATGGACAGCTAGTTGGAATCAACTAGAACATTCTCTCTAAGGAGGCAAAATCATTGGGATTGATTAGAGTGATTTACGTTCTCTATTTAATTTTACCCTGTAATGTGTTGGTCTTCAGCCCACTTTACTTTTTCTCTGATCTTTTGTTGTTTTCTGTCTTTGAAGATGGGAGATAGAGGTTATGGACCAGTGTCTTCACATTCCTCATCACTATATACGGGGTAAGTCTCTGATTTGCTCGGTTTTTATGACTTGTTTGGAAATTGACTTCTCTCAAGAAGTGTCCAATATAAACTTCTTTGAAATGGACTTCTTGTGTGCGTTACTTTTTTTAAAAAGTCCATTTTGTTATTTACACCAAACATCTTTTTTATTTAGGAAATGGACTTTTATAGTCAAAAGTTCATATCAAAAGTGCTTCCAAAATCCAAACACATCCTTAGTATATCACTAAATTTCGGTTTTTTTCTTTGCCAGATTGCCTTCACTGTCTGCTCTTGAGATGCCTATCCCTGCACATGCTGTTGGCAAAGTCATGGGAAAAGGCGGCTCAAACCTTGAGAATATCCGTAAGGTAAATTTAGTTATCTTGTGAATGCTAGGAGGAAAAAAGTTTTTCTTTTTCACACGGCCCGTATTTGTTTGGACTTAATTAATGAAACAACATTGATTTGGATCCTCTTAAAGATTTCAGCTTTTGACCGCTGTGTCATCTCATACTAGGTTTTCATTTGTTTGTTTTTTTAGATAAACCTTTCTTGAGAATATCCGTAAGGTAAATTAGTTTGTGAATGCTAGGAGGAAATTTTTTTTTCTTTTTCACACGGCCCCATATCTGTTTGGACTAACTAATGAAACAACATTGAGTTGGATCCTCGTAAAGGTTCCAGCTTTTGACCACAATGTCATCTCATTCTAGGTTTTCATGTGTTCGTTTTTTTTAAATCAACATTTTCTCACTCATTATATAATCTCCTAGCACAATTCACATGATTTGGTTTGATTGCATGATTTATTTGCACCTTCTACGCTCTCCCTTTAAACTGAAAACTCGAATCTGTCCTGTTATTTCCTTTTTTCCTGTATTTTTGTCTTCAAAGAATTGCTAATCATTAGTATGGTTAATCAACAGCTCATAATTTGCATTTGATCTTTATTTTGGCTGTCACAATTTTGGATAATTTTCGTTCTCTTCCAGTTATCTGGAGCTGCTATCGAGATTTCAGATTCGAGGACCAACCGAGGTGAACGTGTGGCTTTTATATCTGGCACCTCTGACCAAAAACGTTCAGCCGAAAACTTGATCCAGGCATTCATTATGGCTACTTAAGTTACAATCGAAACCAGTTCAATATTCGGAGGGTCCTTATCAGTTACATCTCTCTTGCTCCTTAGGTTTTCCTGTCTCGAACATTAAAATGCTGCTCATCTGTGCACTCTCATCTCATCTGTAGGAACACACTCTTATGAAGTTGCTTCCGGAAGTTTATTAGCTTGTTCCTTTTTTTTTCAAGAGATATTTGATTCTGTTGCTGCATGATAAAATGCTCTAAATCCATCTGCAGCATTCTGAA